CTTTATGAATTAAACATAGATTCTTTTTAAAAGATTAGAGGTGAACAGAGGATCCTGTGTACAAAGGGACACAGGAAAGAGTGAGGGAACGTGGGCAAGTGTTGCATACCCACCGTGGGAAACGTCGCGCTCCCCTCTGATGCATCATACAACACCCGGCTCCCCTGGTCTTACCAGACAATGTCAAGGGAAAGGCCTGGCACATTAAATATTAATCCTTTTCTCCTTAGTTAGAAAAGATAAAGTTATACATTATGGCCTAGACGTGACTAAAACCTATGGCAATTCTTAACTGTTCCTGTTTATTCATTTGAAAGAACTCATTTATAATTGGCAAAAATTAATGAGTCCAAGCTGGGTTCGCAGGGCACTTCCTTTCCAAATTCCAACCAGGGAGCCCAAAACACAGCCTAAGTAAGCTCAAGTCAGACACTCGGCCACATGCTGGACACTGCTAGACACTGGGCCCCATGCTCAGCTTCTTCATGTAGAAGAAGACAGAGTGGATCACAGCACCCTCTCTCATTTACCCTCTCTCGCACTCGATGGGGGAGATCAGACATGGTCAAAACCAACCACAGTATCATCCGACAGGACAGAACAAGTGTCATTAATACCTCACTTGCAAGCGTGAGCTTAGCTTTCCTTTCATCATCTGTGTGTAATTAGACAAGCCCCAAAGCTCCCAGGGACTCTGTTTTCATACAAGATAAATAAGTGAGAGGAACCTGCAAACCCCCAACTCCTTCCATGGCCAATTTAATGATTCTGAGATTCTTCTAAAAGGGGCTGGCAGACCTTGTCAAACACACCTCTGTCTCTTCCCCCAGTGACATATTCCTGGTATATAGAACACCCAGACAAATGACAAGAAAAATGAACCATGCCCAGGGCAAAAAGAGACAGAGAATCAGTAACCAAACACTTGTTTAGAAAGTGTCGCATGCAGTATGGTCATTAAAACCTAAACATCTGGAGAAAATGCAAACATTGTTTAATGCTGACAAGTACCAGGGGACCAGTGAGAATGATCAGTGTGTCCTGTGGGGCCAGGGTCCTATTTATAGGACAGAAGGTTTCAAAGTTTCTCTCACAGGAGCCACGTTAATTACGAAGTGATGACACAGAAATGAGAGACAACAGGGACGGAAAGGGGCACAGGAACATAAAGAAGAAATACTGTGAAGTTTTTGTTTTAGCTGGGAACATAGAACGTAGAGAGAGACGGAAGGATATAACAACTGCATGAACTGGCTGCTCTGAGTTTAAGAAAAAAAAACACTGTCTTTCTTCTCCCGCCAATGAACTCCATATGGGTTTTGTATGCTTTAGTCCTTGAAGATGTTATAGGACCTTGTGTGAAGAGAAAGCAGCCAAGGTGGGTTGGGGTTTTGAGAAAGGTATTACTGACAGACACGCAGACTCAAAAGACATTTTTGGGGGCGCAGCATACAGATAAACTCAGAGAGAATTGAAGAGTGAGACTCAGGTTTTCACATCCATTTTTTTCTTGGCGACATTTATATTAGTTCTCCCATCGACTCTGCCTCCCAGGTCTTCCCTACCGATACAGGCTGCACCATCTTCACGTACAGCAGGCCTTTGTATGTGGCTCCCAAACCTCTGCTGACATAAACAAGCCTTAACCGCAGGTGGGGGCAGCGTTCTTTGAGACACGGTGACAGGTGGCCGGCAGCCCGCCTCTTCTCTGCACAAGGACCCGGTCAGCCTAGTGCTCCGGAGGCCTCCTTCTTACATCAGAAGCCGAGGGGATGGACCCTTCGGTGAGAAGGTATGAGGGACTAGGAAAACACCTAGAAGCAGGCTTTCTAGGTTTCTTAGGCTATGACAGTTGATACTGTCACGAACCTGGCCAAGGAAAGCTGCTGAAATTTCAGCACCTGTGCACAGAAATGGCCATCGGATGCTCATCGAACTGTAAAGAAGGGTCTGCTCCATTCTGGACTTGGCCTAAGGAACGTCCTTAATAAACAGCCTGCAGGGTCCGGGCATGATGCCCACTGTATCAGGACACAGTGCTGAAGAACAGATCTTGTCCTCACAGCCAGCTAAATACAGAGAGGAATGCTCAGACAGTTACGGCGCACCGTGGGCTTCATTCCAGGTGGTCCCACCAATACAAGAAGCAAGGGGAAACACCTGGGACAAAACATGCTAACTTGCTGGATAGCACGGTGCATATCTGAAAGAACTAGATCGGTCCTTGGGGGCGGCCCCTCCTCCCTGGACGGGAGCAGAAGCACAGAGAGAAACTGGAGTAACCTCCACTGGCCTTATCCTGCCTCAGGAATACACCCTAATAATTCTTTCTTCTTTTTTCCTTACATAAACTCTTAGTGATTGAGGAAAACGTATTCACACTTTAAAGTATCATGCAGCTGCTATCTCTTGGTTCTAGTATTTCATGGTGATACATTCAACCGATAACTAGAAACACTGCTTTGCCAACTTCATTGATTTTTGCACGCTGTGGAGACCTTCGACCTCCGCCAGCATATCCTCAAACTATCAGCATCTCAGAAAGTGATCCTGACGGTCTCATTTACCTGTAGAGGGAGAACTCCCTGGGTCTGGATTTCCTCATAGACACTGATTAAACAGATCCAGACCATTCCTGCTTCTTCTGGAAGGTAACAGTCCCAGAGAGGGCTGCCCTGTTAGGGAAAATGAGTTCTCCTTTTTCTGGAACAAGGGTTGGCTACACTCTCAGTTGAGATTTGCCAAATATCATGGTCAAACACCCCTTTCCAAGTTCTGGACAGAGACAGGCTGCCCGCATACTGATGAGCGTGGATGCACTGAACTGTGTGGATTCCAGGGCAGGGCTCTCTGCTCTACTCCCTCCCAAGCTTTACTTCAGCCTCAGGAGCTCATCTGGACCCAAATTCTCTCTCTGCTCCTGCGCACCCCTCAGTCTGGGATCACCAGCACACATTCTTCAGCTACAGAAAATTCAATAATCATATTCAATATTGGACATCATATCTTTTCTTAAAATCATGTTGTTCTCAAATAACATCCATAAAACAGAGACTATCACTAGGTTAGAACAATTCCTAGGACTCTTTTGGCTGTAAATTCCTTTGTTGTGCCATTATCACTTGACAAATACAAATGACTCACCCAAAGTGGAAAAGAAATCAAAGCAGGGAGGTAGATTTCTGAATCTTGGTTCAGAGATCTTTCTATTACAAAAAACCATACTGAATTTACCTCTACAACATAGGATCTTGGAGGGTGAGATTCTGGCTTATTTCTCTCTTTTTTTTTTGGTACCAGGGAATTGAACCCGGGTCCTTGCACTTGTGCAGCAGGTGGCAAAACCACTGAGCTAAATTCCCGGCCCTTATTTCTCTTTTTATTCCATGGTGCAAAGCACACTGTCTAGCACAATTTGATGATTAAATTGATTTTATCAAAAATGTGAACTATAGGGGAAAAAGTCAATAGAAATTACAAAAACAAATTTAAAGGCAACAAATAACTAAATCTGTTGATAAACATAAATGACATAAATTCAGTACCTCAATCTGAGATTAAATATAGCAGATCAAAATTATTTAGCTATGATTACTGATGATGGATCAATAACTAGCCTGGAAGGGGAATGTTCAGGGTGTAGTCAAAAATATATGAAGTTGACACTATTCAGCTGTGCTGTTTGATACTGTGCGTGTTATCCATATATGGCCATATAAATCCGAGTTAATTAAAGGTAAATTAAAATTAAGTTACTCAGCCATACCAGTCATATTTAAAAGACTCAAGTCCCATAAATTGTTATTGTCTAGAGCATTCGACAGCTGAGAGAAACATTTCCATCCAGGCAGAAAGTTCTATGGGACAATTCTATTTACAGAGGCTAATCACTACCATTACTTCTGATGATGATATGAAGCAGGAGGGACAGGATGATAAGAAAGGAGAATCAAATGCAGAGAAAACACTGATTAAGCCCTTACTGCTCTTCGCTAAGCAACTGTAATGTCTAATTTCATATAACCCTTATAACTTCCCTCATGACGTTGGTACTATAATTATCCCCATTTTAAGCCTGACAGCACCATGCTTGGAGGGATTAAGTAAGTCACCCTGCTAACACACTTGGTAATTGCCTTAGCTGCGTTCTTACTCAAGCTGTCTAGATTCAGAGCCTGTCCTCAACTGTTAGGGTGTGTCTCCTGAAGAACCTGAAATGTGCAGAGTCAGGGGTGGGGGACATTAAACTTTACACTGCTGGTTCTTAATCCTAGATTCATGTCAGAAACATGGGGGGAAATTTCCTCAAGGTGCAGTTACCTGAGCCCTAATCCAGAGCAAGAGGGCTGGCAAACAGGTGCATCTCACCACTCTTCAGGCAAGCACAGCTTCCATCCTGACAGCATGTGTGGCCTGAACAAACCTTAGAAATAAAATGCTTCCTGCTGCAGGACAATGTATTCACTAAGTTCTAGTTTGTTTATTTATTTATTTATTTATATATTTTGCATAAATTCTTTTATTGGTACATTTTAGGTATACAACATGTTTGCATTTATCATTGGGTGTTTGTACCTGTACATGATGTATCTTGGTTCTTAATATTTCCCCAGCTAGTTTATTTATTCCCCATCAAGGGAAATCAGGGGCATCGGATGAAAGCCCTCCTCCTTCATCTTCTCAAGGGTTATTCTAATCCTCCCAACTGACTGATCAGAGCGTTTACAAGACAGTCAGCAGCATCCATGTAGGGGAACTCATTTCCTATAGCTGCCTTTCTGGAATGGTAATGATGCAGCTATCCCTGGCCCTCCTGCATTCACAGCTGATCTTAAAATTACACACTGCCAGGCATTTTGCCACCTGAGCATCCATCTGTTCATCTTTACATCTCTAATCCCAGTTTAGGAGTAATGGATTTTTAGCCAGCTAGAGAGCTTAGTCAACCAAGATTGAAGGCACCTCGTGAATCAGGAGCATGCAGAACACACATTTCTTACCTTACGTTTGTTGGTAGGACACACATAGAGATAGCTCAAAATTGTCTTCAAACCCACTTTATCATTCAGCTTCTCATAAGTTGTCCCGTAATCGGTTGACCTATAATTCAAAAGAAGCTTTAATGAGGATAGAAGTATACGTCATTTGGCTGCTTGTCAGTATAATGCATGTTTTACATAGCAGAATGGCTCTCAGGAGGTTTCTAAATGATTCATGTAGTATATAATGATGCTTAATTATGTACACAGTAGTATCATGTGAGTGGTTAAAATTTGCATTTAAATTGAATTGGTAAAAATTAAAACTCCATCTCTCTACTTCTCAATGCATGCACTTTGCATAAAGCATGTGATTAATTTGAAAAGATTAACAGATGAAGATGTCTGTCCCTTGAATTGACCAAAGAAATGAAAGAGCTTTCAGTTAGATGTGACATTTCTAAACTTTTGCTTTATCTTCAGCACAGTGGCAAAGCGGGTTTTAATTTATCTACAAATTGTGTTTCCATTCATGAGTCATAGGATATATAGTGGGTTAGTTCCTTCAAAGATCAATCCATCTTCCCCTATTATTTAAGAGCAATAAAATGTCTTAATAATAAGTGAAATTTCACAACCTTCCCAATGCCCTTTTTATAGATTCAAGCAACACAGAGTTAGGAGGACAGTATTTCTTGGCACAGGCTCTATCTTTCTTGTAGATTCTCTTCTTTATTTAGTCACTGGTCAGTAACCTATTACTTTTGATTATATACAAAAGTTTAAGTCATCATCTTCATGAAGGTGTACTTTGTATTTCAAACTTTAATTTTATTAGATCATCATGAAATCATAAATAGGAGGGAATATCTTCTGTGTGAAGAAAGTGCTTGAGGGAATTTAAGTGACCAGTTCAAAGAAAACAGCTGATGAGTGAGCCAGATAAAAATTGAAAGTCATTTTTTTATGTACTAATCAAGTCTTGATAACATGGTTAACAAGAAATGTGCACCATTTAGCAAGTACACAAAGATAGTAGGGAGGAACTATCGATCCCCAGAGCATCATATGTCTTCCCAGCCAGTTTCCTGCCCCTCTTTGGAACAATATCAATAGTTACTATATTCAGAGAATCCAGGAGGACTGAATGGACAGATGAGCCTTTATTTTAAAAAATAGCACTTCAAATAAATTTTTAAAAACTATGAAGAAATCGTTGAAAATGCAGAGAAACTCCAAGCTGCAGTCTTCTAACCTCATTCTTTGTCCAATGGCAAAAATCCACACACCTCAGTGCTCACACTTCTTTTTCCCCGACTGAGATGAGGGAAGCAAGCAGGAGAGCAGATGGAGGAGAGAGCTGTGTTTGCGTGGAATGAACACTGCAATGTAGTTGCCAATACTGTAAGACAGTTATTTAGGTCTGAAGCCCCAGGATTTTGTCTTTTAACTCAGTTCTCTCTCCTTCTTTCCCTCTCTCCCTCTCTCCTCTCTTTTTATGAAAGGACAAAAAGCTGAGCACAGCTGAGGAAGGCTGTAAACCCAGCTACTCTGGAGGGTGAGGCAGGAGCACCACTATTTTGACACCAGCTTGGGCAACTAATTGAGACCCTGTCTCAAAATATAAACGGCCACCTTTGTGCTCATGGAGGAAAGATGGCCGTGGTCATGTTCACACCTGATGCAGAGTTTGCAAAAACCCACAATTCTGCCAAACACTTCTGGCGGGGAGGAGGAGGAGGAGGAGATGATGATGATGATGCAGGTAGTATAAAATGTCCTCTCTGTCTCCTTTTCTCACAGAGGAGGTAGACACCCAGTGAAATTCATTCAGTCGAGTACAGGTCTTGCCTGGTGCCTAATAGCTTAGGTTGGGCGAAAGAAAATATAAACAAAGAGGATGTGCTGAAGGCAATGACAGAAGTATGAGTTAACAATAGCTCGAAAAAAATGTTCGTTTAAACAAAAAACATCATTTCATTTCTGATTTGATAAGTGTTATGAATTCTGTGGGCTTCAATGTCTATGAAGAGGAAGTTTGTGTTAACAAGCTAACTACCTTCCATTAAGAGGCTATTCTGAGCCAGGCACTGGAGGAAGAGAGCATTATAAAAGTATTCCTGGAATTAAAGATTTATTCTGGCCAAGAATTTGAGGCATTTTAGGCTAAAGTTTATACCTAGATAATATCGTTAGAGCTTGAAAGAGGCAGTCCCCAACCTTTTTGGCACTAGGGACCTGTTATGTAGTGAACAATTTTTCCCCTGGCAGGGTGGTCAGGATGATTCAAGAACAATAATTTACTGTCCACTTTATTTTCATTTATTTCTATTTTTAAAATTTTTATGATACACTCATTGTAGGGAATTGGTAGCTATACATTACACATCCTCAATTCTGTTTTCTTTTTTAGCTTCCCTCCATTATACTAGATTTTCATAAGGAATGGGCAACCTAAGCCCCTCACAGGGAGCTGACAGTAGGTTGCTTGGCTGTCTTGAGAGTCTACTGGAGCCACTGAGCTGACAGGAGGTGGACCTGCAATGGGAGTCATTGTCATCAGGCAACAGCTCACCTTCTAACAGGTGCTGGACCAGTACCCTTCCAGGGCCTGGGACCCCTGCTCTAAAGGACTTAGACGTCACTCCCAATCTTTGAGGAATGGGGTCTCCTGCAAAACCTCTAGAAAAAAACAACAAACCTTGACAATGGGAGGGAGTTAAGGAAGGGGAAGTAGGAAGAACCTCATGATGGGGAAGTGACTTTGTTTACAAAGGAGGTAGAGGACAGATTCTCCTGAGGACCTGCTTCACATGGCCACAATCATACAAATATTATCTTGATAGCTCAGGGTATTTGGGCAGCATGCCAGAACTCTTTCTTAACTCTTAATCATGAATCACATCAAAACTTCTCAAAATTGTTCTCCCATGTCCATCTTTCTCCTCAAATCTCAGCAAATGTGAGAAAATTTCCTGCTACTTTCTAAGAAATACTTGAGATTTCTTTCCTCACTCAGTCTACTCTTGTTTACTGTTTTTTTTCCCAGTGTCTCCCTAGTCTTCTGAGGGTCAGCGCTCTCTTTCTAATGAGAATTTGCTAGTCTCCAAGAGTTTCTAGCTTTCTTCTAGCTTCTTTTATTCAGTACTTTTTTTGTATACATTGTCGGAACAGTATTTACAAGCTTAAGAATAAAAATGCAGATGCAAAATCGACCTGGGTGGAGTAACAGGAAAAGGATTAAACAAGTTAATGCAGCTATATTAATAAATGTTTCTTAGTGATAGATAGACATAGTCAGACCTCTTTCAAGTTGAGAGAAATCTTCATTTCTCCAAGCAGGATAACAGGAAAAAGGCTAGAGAATAGGAAGAACCAGTATCCATAGAGTGTAACAACCAATTACTTCTAATTTCCACTAACTAGCATGATAACTGAGGTATTCAATGGATACTTTTGCATTAATACAAAGGCAAATAAGGACTGGGCTACAAGGATTCTGCAGGAAGTTAACTTCATTTGTGTATGTGACTATGCTTGTATGTGTGTGTTTAACTCTAATCCCAGTGTACCAAAATGATAATAGAGTGGGGCTCAGTTTTACATTAGAAACATTATTTTTCCAGAAATTTTACACTATGTTACTAGACACTTATAATAATCTCACTTGTCCACTGACCCAGTTCCTTCAAAGCATATGCCCCTATGTTTTTGTACCATCTTTGTATCTTGATTTTATAAAGCTCCCAAACTGAACCACAACTTGTTAACTCTCCACTGCAGCAGAGCCACAGGCCTAACCACTGTGCCTTCTGTACTAATCAATCGATAGAGAAATTACAGTACAGACTGGCAATCACCCATGGGTGTTTCACAACTAGAATGAGTAGGCAAGTGTCATGGGTAGAACTCAAAATTGGCTGGCATAGGTTGGTACAATGTTATAGGAATGAAAACACTGCATTCTTATAAACCGGTTGGCACACAGCTACTGAACCGAGACTGCATAGCAGCTCCTGCAGCCTCAGCATCATAGCTTCTCAGTGGGGCCCCGCCTGGGTCTCCCCTCAGTCCAGCAGGCATAAGACCAAAGGCCAACACAGCAACAATCCTCAAAAAATTGCTATGGCAGGAAGATCGGCGAGCGTAGTGTTTGGTCAATGCCCATGCTATCAGCCTGTGTCCAAGTGGGCTAAACAGTGGCCTCAGGGTGCCTGCACACCCTGGGATAAAACCCTAGGCCCATCTGTACCCCTAAGTCACAGTTATGAGATCTGGCTTTCCCCTCATGGTCAAGTGTAGGAGCTATACTCTTCTAACACTGTGGGCTGAGAGCAAAGACACAGGCTAAACAGTGGGCTGACTGCTGAGCCAAAGAACCCACTGTTAAATATTTCAAATATCATTTTTAGGTATGGAAGAAAGGGCTAGTTTCCAGAATAGAAATATTGGAAAATACTTGATTAAGCAAAATTTTATATTCCTTTACTTTGTAAATTTTCACAAATTGTATTATTGTAATATATACTGAGCCCCTCATGTGGGTATTTCATGTAGCAGTTTCCAAATATATTTGATTAGAGCATCCATTCTTGAGTAATATAAAATGAGATTAGTGTTCTGAGAAACACACTTTAGAAAATACAGTATCAAAGACAAAATAAAGCCAAAAACATATGAAGTCTTGTCTTCATAAGGAAAGGAATATAATAAAAATTATTGTAAACAAATAAAATATGAAAACAAAAATGCCAGCCTGAGATAACTATAAAGTGATGAGAAACTAAATATAAATAAATTACACAGTAAAATAAAGGAGAATTGTTAGGAAACCAGGAGACAGAGTTTTGGAGATGGGGAACAGAAGCGGGGAAAGGCAGAGAGTGAGGAGAAGAACCGAAGATATGTATGCATACATATGCAAATTCCCTAAGATGAATGTAACTACTATGTATACCAAACATACATCAATGACAAATAAAAAATAAAGCAAGTGGCATTATAAAGGAAAAATGAAAAACAGCAAGAAGTGTGCTTAATATATGTATCATCCATAGACATATTTAAGATGCAATGTACGTGACGTTGAATTCTCAACTTGTAACATTTTTAAAAACATTC